AAGAGAATTTTATACCCAGTTGCTGAGAGAGAGCAATTTTCTGAGCATAAGGGACATTCGGACTAAACACCGAGCAAGATTTATTCTTATTAATTTGTTGTCATGCTAGCCAACCATACTTGTCCAAGGTATCCAAAACAATACTTAACGAACCAGAATCAGCAGGGTTACCCTGGCGAATACCTCAGGAAGGCCTAAATCCATCAGTTAGAGCACCATGCAAGATAACTTGATACGGAACTGAAGAGACACAAAACATCAGCAACTGAATCCACTTTTCTGGAAATCCCATTTTAACCATCGTGGCCTATAAAAAATCGTTCCTTTTCCTTCCTCAAGGATTCAATCTTACGCAAAGTTTTAGAGGCTACTAAGATATTATCATTAATTAGCCACCCTTTAATAAATGCGTTTTGAAAAAGACTTATCAGATCATGCAAAAGTCTTTGCAATCAATTGCATAAAACTTTTGCAATTATATTATGTGCCACAATACATAGGCTAATGGGCCTAAAGTTATCAAGGGATTGGAAGGAATCCCTTTTTGGAATTACAGAGATAAATGTTGTCCCCAAAACTTGTGGAAAATATCTTTGGAGGAAGAACGAACGCACCAAATTCCTAACATCTCCCTGGAAATCCTTCCAAAAGCACTGAAAAATCTCACCTCAAAACCTGGTGCTCCATCAAGATTCACATTAACATAATATCCTCATCCATAAGATCATTCAATAAAAACTTGCTTGTGTGCATCTGAGAGCTTGGGCATTCAATATGTTCAAGTTCAGCAAGGATTTGATGAAAGGTCACGTTATCATATTGATTAAAAATATTCTTGAAATAATCCAGAGTTAAATTTCTCAGACCCTTGGCATTCGAAATCCAAATCTCCTCTTTGTTGAGGCCAATCTACATTTACGAACCAAATTATGAAAATGGGCAGTATTTTTATTCTCATAGACCAAACAATTTGGTCTCACTTTTTGTGCCCACAATATCTCTTCACACTCCAACCAAAAGTCAAGTTCTGATCTCAAACGTAAAATCCAGTTACTGGCTCCCTTTAATTCCAAGTTAGATTATAAGTTGCCGATCATTTGTTCGAGAGACTGGATTTTTTGATTTATCTTATCCACTGTAGTTTTATTCCAATGAAGTAAATTTTCTTTCAACTGTTCCAAACAATAGATTAATTGAAACCCCTCATGAGCTGCAAAAATGTTATTCCAAGAATTCTTGACCAAAGTCGAACAATAAGAAAAATTAGGCCAAAAGTTCTCAAAACGAAAAGGACGTGGGGACCAAACATTGCCAGGATCAGTGTCAATCAACAAAGGCGCATGAACCAGAGTTTTAGAGTAATTTTGAAACCAGAGCACATTACAAAACGCACTATCCAACTTCTCCCAAACAACTGACTCTCCTTTCCTATTGTGACACCGAGTAAATTTTGGACCTTTCAATGGCAATTCCACAAGCTGAGCATCAAATATCAATTGACGAAATTGATTAGCTCAAGAAGTGCTCAACTTATCCTCACCATAAAGCACTTGGTTAAAATCTCCCACTAATATCCAGGGCCCATTAATCTCAGATTCAGTAGTTAAAATCCAGTCCCGTAATAAATGACGATTAACAAAGTTAGGGAAACCATAAACACATGACGCATAAGCAAAAGTACCATCATTCATATTCACAAGGCAGTGTATCCAGTTAGTAGTACAGTCCAAAATAGAAACAGTCTTCAACATTCAAAGCTTCTGCTTAAGATGAATTCCCAACTGTAATGAGGTTTTCTTCAAATTGGCTAGACAAGAAGACCATTTGGAATTCACGTTCTCTAGTTGATGCCTTGCTTTTATTTGGTCAATCACCATGTGAGACTTTTCTTTCTTCACTGCTTCTAAATCTTTTTTGAATCCCATGGTGTCTGAAACACACGTCTTTTTTTGCTCTTGAAGAGACAAAAGTTTGACCTCACACTCTTTGATTACTTTTTCTTTGTTACACAGTTCATCTTGTAACTTAGAGATTTGCTCCTTCAACACTTCTTCCCTTGTTTGAGCCTCAACCATAGAATTTTGAGTCTTGTGAATTTCAGATAAAAGACTTATTGCTGCTTCTTTTCGTTGTGAACGTTGTTCAATCATCAGCTTCTCTTTTTGTTCAAGCTTGGTCATTGCGTCAATGGCAGAACAGGCTTGCTTGAAGGAAGATAGAATAGTTTGCATTTCTTGTTGTAAAGAGTGTATTGTAGCTTTGAGTCCATCATCAGAACTATGTGAGGACAAGATGTGAAGAGCATTTTGAAGGCAAAGTCTTCTTTCTTCAGATCTAGCTATTTCATTTAAATCCATCTTCAATGAGACTTCCAAATCAGCAAGAGCCTTAGTGATATCATCTTCATGAGCAGCACCTTCCTCCATTGTTTGGAATAATCTCATTAGTTCATCATCCTCAAGTTGTTTAGGCACACAAGGCATGCAAGTCTTTGTTTGAGTGGCCTTAATTTCATCCTGAAGTAAAAAAGAGTAAACAAACATTATTCTTAGTAATTGAATCCAATAAAAAAATATGATATTTTTTCCCGAAATATATAGGACTCTAATGAATAAATGTGGAGCTATAAATGCTAATCAACACAACATTTATTATTACTTATTTTAAAGGAAGAACATTATACCCAAAAAAATAGTGCATTAAATTATCAAAAAAAAATTGTGCAGATTCAGTAATGTAAACATCTAGATGGTCTGATTATGAGCTCTCTGCTTTTGTTTCAGTCGCTAAAGATGCTATTTGAGGCTTCATGGGAGTAGAGATTGAAGGGATCTAAAACCAAAAAAATAGAAAAATTAATTTCACCCAACGATAGTAAAGTACCAATAGTCCCCCAATCAAACAAGGGTAAATGAAAAGAGTAGTTATTTACCAATGGAGGACTTGTTTCAGTAGTAGTTGATGGAATTGACGTTGCAATTATATTTGATGTTTCACCAGCACTTGCTTCACTATTCTGCACAGCATTGAATGACATCAGTTTCTTGTTTTTGTGACAATCAAACAAGGGTAAATGAAAAGCGTAATTATTTTAGATTGTTAATTAACCTTTTGTGAATCGTCAAGATGCATATCAGATTGTGTTTTTGATAGTGCTTGTTGATCAAGTGTGATTCTCTTGCCCTTGCCATCAATGCGATCCTTATTATTATCCTATATCAACATAAATACGCAAAAAGCACCATAAGATTATATTATTTACAATAAACTCATCCTATATATCAGGAAGGACTATAATCTTACACGATGATGCTCATTTTCTGAAGGAACAACAAATGCTGTCTGTGATGACTTGCTTGATTCTGGACTCATGATTTTATTGGTTCCGAGAGCTTCATCTAAATTAGAACCTTCTTGAGAGCTTGACTTCAATGTTTCCTTCATAATTTGTTGCATGGCACAAATTAAAGAAGTAATTTAGCTTGCTGTGAGTTCTACCGCCATCTCTTCATCAACAATATTCTTTACTAGCTAACTAAATTTTGCAACATATAAAAACAAGTGAAGGTGTTGGTGGGCATTTTCTCTTAAGATATCTGAATTAGAGGATGGTGATGTTTTTGCTGCTATATCAGAAAGAAGAACTTGTTTAACAATTTCATTTTTCACTGCTTTGGTTTATCTGAACTTACAATATGTTAATAAAATGTGGAACTGTTTGATGTTTATGTAAAACTATTTTATTTTAGAAAAGTATGAAGGATGATGAATTTATAATATGTGTGTTTTATAACATTGGTCACTGAAAATAAGGTAATATAATAAAGCATAAACTTAGTTGAGAACATGCGGTGTTGGAGGAAAAATCAAATGGTATCGTATTTTAAAAATATGATAATGTTACTTGTGAAGGAGCAGGGTTGTTGCTGGTTTGTTCTGAATCCTTCCCTTCATCAGCTTCTGCAGCGTCCTCTGCTTTTGGACCGTCTTCAACACTTGCCTCTGTTATTTCCTTAATCTGCAACATATAGGAGACCACAAGGGAATTAAAAAGTTATGAATTAATATTGCACCAAAAATTTATAAGCAATAAGAAAGGCAATAAGTAAGAGAGAAATATATTTGCTGGCTTCTTAGGTGTGGTAGATTATAGGAAGCTATAGTATAAATACATTTGATGAACCATTGTTTTGTTGTGCTGCTGGTCGATCTCCCTTTATAACCTTCTCCGCTACTTCTCTTGCCCTCTGGAACATATCGGTGAACATAGATAGTATATGAGATGAGCCATTTTTGAAAGGGTAAAAAAGATTGAAATTTACCCCCATCTTAGGTGTAATTTTATCAATAATCATTTGTTTAGCACTTAAAAAAAAAAAACAGAGTGCTTGGCGTACTTAAGAAATAAATTTAAGGGCAAAATTGCATCTTTAACAAAATAACCTTAGGCTTTCAATTAATTAAATTAATCACAGAGATACAGATGTTAAAATATTTTTCCCAATTTGACTTAGAAATGATGCAATTCAACTTGTAAAAATAAAAGTTTGATCTGTAAACATAAATGATTAAATTTAATTTGTGAACATACAAGTTTGATCTGTAAAATATAAATTTTTAGAGACATTTTTATATTTAATTTTCTTGATGAGACTTATAAATTTTTTTCCAAGCTAAAATATGGTTTATTTCGATCACCATTCCATGGGTTGAACGAAATGACCTTATTTTCATCCTGAAGTAGATAATAAAGGACAAATATTATTCTTACTAATAGAATCCAGTAACAAAATATCATTTTTTTCCCCTAAACACGTTGAATCCTAAAAGCTGAGTTATAAATGGTAATCAACACTATATTTATTATTAATTGTTTTAAAGGAAAAACATTATACCCAAAAAGCAGTGGAATAAACTATAAGCATACTTGTGCAGATTCAGTGATGGAAATATCTACATGGTCCAACTGTGGGCTCTCTGCTTTTGTTTCAGTACTTGAAGTTGCTATTTGAGGCTTCATGGGAGTAGAAATTGAAGGGATCTAAAACCAGAAAAATAGAAAAATTAATTTCAACCAAAAATAGTAGAGTATCAATAGTGCAACAATCACACGAGGGTAAATGAAAAGAGTAGTTATTTACCAATGGAGAGCTCGTTTCAGTAGTAGCGGTTGATGGAATTGACACTGCCACTTTATCTGATGTTTCTGCAACACTTGCTTCAGCATTCTGCGCAGCACCGAATGACATTAGTTTCTTGTCTTTGTGATAGTAAAGCAATATAATACACACACACACACACACACATATATATTCTTTTGTAGATTGTTAATTAACCTTTTGTGAATCATCAAGATGCATATCAGCGTCTGTTTTTTGTAGTGCTTGTTGATCAAGTGTGATTTTCTTGCCCTCACCCTCAATGCGATCCATGTTCTCCTAAATGAACATAAATATGCAAAAAGCATCAAAAGATTATATCATTTACCATAATAATTCATCTTATATCAAGAAGAAACAACAAATGTTGTTGGTGATGGCTTGCTAGCTAGATTCTAGAATCCTGATTTGATTTGTTCCGAGAGCTTCATCTAATTTAGAGCCTTCTTGATAGGTTGATTTCAATGTCTCCTTTTTAATTTGTTGCATAGCACAAGTTAAAGAAGGAATTTAGCTTGCTGTGAGTTCTACGCCATCTCTTCATCAACAGTATTCTTTACTAGCTAATTAAATTTTACAATACATGACCAAGCGAAGGTTTTTTTTTTTTTTTTTTTTGGGGATTTTCTCTTAAAATATTTGAATTAGACAATGGTGTTGCTGTCACTGGTATATCAGAAATAGGATCTTGTTTAACAATTTTATTTGCTGCTGCTGTGGTAGTCCATGAACTTACAATATGGTAATGGAAAGAAGTACTATTTGATGTTTGGGCAAGTCTATTAATTTTAGGAAATTTTACAGTATGAGGAACTTATAATGCATGTGTTTTCAAGCTGTTAACGTCTAATATTAATCACTCAAAATAATGCAATGAAGTGTAGACTTACTTCAGAAGATGCTATATTGGAGGAAAGTTCAGATGGTTCTGATTGGGGATCTTTCGAGTGCAAATGTAGTCCTCTTTCACTCTACATGAAAAATATGTACATATATATATATGTATATATCAATGAATATTGAAAAATCTGCATATATTTGATTCATTCGTTTTGTATTGTAAAATATGATAATCTTACTTGTGGAGATTCAATTTGTGAAGGAGCAGCAAATGTTGCAGGTCTGTTGGTTTGTTCTGAATCACTTTCTGTAGCCTCCTGTGGCTTTGGACTGTCTTCATCACTTGCCTCTGCTATTTCCTTAATCTGTAACATTATAGGAGACCGCAAAGAACTTAAAAAGTTCTGGACTTAATTTAATGATGTACCGAAGTTTGGAAGCAATCAAGAAGGCAATAAGTTTGTTGATGTCTTTTGCATATCTGAATCAGGGTTTAGTGTGCTTCTGATATGCAATGCATACTAAATATAAGTAATATATGTATAATTGACTAATTGAATACCAAAATTTTAAATAAATGTTTTCATCAAAATAGAAAATAAAAATTAATTTCCATTAGCATCGCTATAAAGTAAGAGGACTCTTTTCAGCTAAACAAGTAGCTGAAAAGCCACTACTCCTTGTGGCTGACCAAAAATAAGAAAATAAGTAGTATTTCAAAACTTAATAAAATAAAGAAAAATAAACACAAATTTTGACGTAATGGTTGGTCAAGTGAAGTTATTGATATATCAATAATAACTTTAATATTTTCTAAAAAAATTTAAAACATTTTATTGCTATTCTAAATCAAGTTAATTTGAATCCTCGAGTGGTTTTTAAAAAACTCGTGCATTAATCTTCCACGAGTAGTGGGGGAAAAAACCATCCAGAGTGTTAGCTTGAAAATGATATTTATTATGTGTTTCAGGAGGGCCATATAATTTTAATTTTGAATAAAATTAATTTAAATGAAAATAAAAATGTGAGAAAAATATATTTAACTAAAAAAAAAATATATACATTACAATTGGGAAAACTTATTGACTGTCGATAGATTTAATTTAAACTATTATTACGATATAAAAGATAAATAAAATGATTTATTTATTTAAAGTAGTTTGTCTTGTGAGAATGAGTAGGAGAAACAATAATCACCATCAACGATGTGAAATAAACACAATGATAATATATAAAACAGAATACGTACATGACAATCCAACTTCCATAACAAGCTTTTTATTGAATAATTTTTTAGGAAATTTAAATGCTGTCTCAAATAGTAAAATAGTGCAAAAATCAAACAGGAGTAAATGGGAATAGTAATTCTTTACCAATGGAGAGCTTGTTTCAGTTTTATTTGCTGTTTCTTTGACACTTGCTTCAATATTCTGCTCCGCATTGCATGCCATCAGTTTCTTGTTTGTGTAAAAATAAAACATTATAAGAAATACATATGGTCTTTTGTAGATTGTTAATTAACCTTTTGTGAATCACTAAGATATATGTTACGTTCTGTTTTTTGTAGTGCATTAAGTGTGATTCCCTTGCCCTCATCCAAAATGCGATTCTTATTATCCTAAATGAACATAAATATGGAGAAAGCACCATAAAATTGCATCAGTTACCATAATAATTCATCTTATATCAAGAAGGACAATATTCTTACATGTGGATGCTCTTTTTCTGGAGGAACAATAAATGCCGTTGGGGCTGGCTTGCTTGATTCTGGACTCATGATTTGATTTGCTCCGAGAACTTCATCTGATTTGAAACGTTCTTGAGAGGTTGACTTCCATGTTTCCTTTATAATTTGTTGCATAGTACAAATAAGCAATTTAGCTTGCGGTGAGTTCTGATGCCATATGTGATATTCTTGTCTAGCTAACTAAATTTCACAATACATAACCAACTGAAGGTGTTTAATTAGATGATGGTGTTGTTTTCGCTGGTATATCAGAAATAAGAACTTGTTGAACAATTTCATTTATTGTTGCTTTGGTACTCCCTGAACTTACAATTTGTTACTAAAGAGTGGAACAGTTTGTTGTTTATGTAAGACTATGTTATTTTAGGACAGTGTGAAGTATGATGAATTTATAATGTGTGTTTTCAATTAGTTTTAAAGTCTGACATTAGTCACTCAAAATAAGGCAATAAAGTATAAACTTCATTGAAAAGATGCTGTGTTGGAGGAAAAATCAAATGGTTTTATATTTTGAAACTGTGATAATCTTACTCGTGGAGATTCAATTTGTGAAGGGGCAGCAAACGGTGCAGCCTCCTCTGGTTTTAGACCGTCCTCAACACTTGCCTCTGTCATTTCCTTAATCTGTAACACAGGAGACCACATAGAAATTAAAAACTTCTGGATTTAATTTGTTAAAATTGCACCAAAAATTTATAAGCAATAAGAAAGGTAAAAGTATAGTATACATACATTCGATGAACCATTGTTTTGTTCTGCTGCTGGTCGGTCTCTCTTTGTAACCTTCTCTGCTACTTCTTTTAACCTCTGGAACATATCCGTGAACATGGTTAGATAGTATAAGAGATGAGCCATTTTTTAAAAGGGTAAAAAGATTGAAATTTGCCCCATCTTAGGTGTAATTTTATCAATAATATTTTGTTTAGCACTTTAAAAAAAAAAACAGAGTCCTTGCTGTACTTGAGAAATAAATTTAAGGGCAAAATTGCATCTTTACTCTTTTTCTAAATATTTCTATTAACAAAATAAACCTAGTCTTTCAATTAATTAAATTAATCACAGAGATATAGGGGCTATAATTTTTTTTCCCAATTTGACTTAAAAATGATGCAATTCAACTCGTAAAAATAAAGCTTTGATCTGTAAACATAAATGATTAAATTTAATTTGTGAATACACAAGTTTGATCTGTAAAATATAAATTTTTAGAGACATTTGTATATTTAATTTTCTTGATGAGACTTATAAGCAATTTTTTTCCAAGCTACAATATGGTTTATTTCTATCACCATTCCATGGGTTGAATGAAATGACAAGTTGTTTATTCAATTTTTTTTTATAGAACTGATTAAAAAAAAATATAAAAACGATTTGTCCCAGACAATGCACGGTGAATTTGAAAAGATAATAAAACATTGAAACTAAAAATAAAAATGGTGTAATGATAGGCCATTGGTTCAAGAAGAAGAGGCCCATTAAGTTTATTTAAGTTTGGTATATGCATCGTTTGTTGTCCTGTCTCCCCCTGCTTTCTCTTTCCTTAGATTGGCCCATTTTATTTTGGTACTCACATTAAGAAGCTGTTCATTAAGATCATCGTCATCCATGTTGCCCTGCGTACTCTCAGATTTGTTTAACCACTGCACATAGCCTAACCAAAAAATAATTCCAAATATATATTATAATGAGAAAAGTCATAGCAATTATATAGCAATCGTAAATATATAATTAAATAATCTTTTAGTTACTTACCACCAATGAAGTCAACATTATCAGTTGAAGTTAAAGAGAGCTTGGGACACTCTTCTACTCGACGGCATATCACGGTCTGGAAATCAATTGCAGGGCAGATAGTATGAAGTTTTGGTAGATCTTCAAGGATTATCACAAATAGCTTTGGGAACACATGCTTGATGTGCAACTCTCGTGTTGCGCCCTGCTTCCCTCCAAATACTTGCTCCATCTCTGGGGCATCTGATATAGACAACCACGAGAGCTGTGGAAAGCTGCCACGTGTGGAGATAGAGAGTAGGCATTTCAGCCTCTCGCAGTCTTCCACAATAATCCTATGGAGATTTGGGAAAGAACATTCTTCATCATCATCATCCTCAATGATGCGCTCTAGCTCTCCACAATCTGACACTTCTAGGTGTCTCAAACATGTTAGGCCTCTCGAGATAGATGTAGGCAAAACGAATTTCAGCTGATCGCACCTATAGATATCAAGCTTGGAAAGATATTGAAAGCTAAGATGATTTTTTTGTCCCACACATATGTTTCTTAGCTTATCCAGTCTTCGCAAAATCAGGGTTTTCAAGCTTGAATTCACAGGACTTGCAATTTGAAGTATTTCAAGATCATAAATTGTTTCCACGTTGAAGGATGCCAAAGAAAGATGTTTCAAATTGCACAAGCGCATCCCAATTAGCTGTATCATATCATATTATGTATGTGTATGTTATTATCAAAGAACAAAGCAACAAATCAACAATAATCATAAACTGACTGCTGGAAAATAATCAATTACCTTTTTTCTTGACAGTTGTCCTTGTCCTTCATGCCTCTCCACTGATACATCTATAAAAGAGCTTATAGGAAGTTCCTGACATTTATACAAAGTGATGCCTTCTAGAGATGATGCTTCGACATAATAGTTTTTAGGACACATAACCATATTTAGCACTCCGCCAAGGCTTACTCTGTTGAGAGCTGGTAGATGAATCTTAGTATTCTGCTTTTGTTGAAGTAACTTATCATCACCACAAGATTTTCCAAATACATATTTCAACTCTCTAGCCCCCTGGATATGCACAGATTCCAAGAGCTTAAGGTTTTTAGAACAAGAAGCAGGAAATACATATTCTAATTTGTGACATCCGATTATTTCAATGGTGCGTAAGTTGGGAAAGAAAAAGCGGCCTTTCATCTGATGACGATGACCATCTACCTCCTCCATTACTATATGCTCTAGCTCATCACAGAGGACGACTTCCAATTTTTCTAGCAGTGACATTGATGAGGCAACGGATACAGAAAATAGTGACCTTAAGTTTGAAATGCGTCCAATATTTACCTCTCTCACATAGCATCGGTATAACGGTGGTGTAAAAATTCCATGAGCTCTGTTGCCAACATATTTATTCTGCATTCCAAACAAATATATCAATTCATCTTTAACAAATTACAAATGTGTATATTAAATTGCAGCTTTTTTGTTTGTCTCCTTAGAGTCGTAGCACCATAACAGAGCAGACGTGAAAGCAGGAGCAGATAGACATTTTATTTCAATTTTTCAAAATAAATAAGTATAATCAAAGACTTTTTTTCCACATCTCATCTAACTTAATCTTTACTCCATCTCGGCTACTATATTACAAAATTATTAAGAATTTAAATTTCCAACCTCCTTTTTTTGCCAACAATTTCCAACCTTCTAAATTCTTCTCAATCAATTAATTAATAAACAATGAAGCAAGATTTAAAAATGGTTAATTGTTAAAAATTTCAGTGTTAATGTAATTTGAGAAAAATAATTTATGGATGCCCTGTACCCTGTAGCACATATGTGGAGAAATTTTTCTTCGCAAACAAAATAAATTATCCCTTTAATAGATAGGAACCATGAGGTTATAGAATAAAGTTGTATAAATTGAAGTATGATTAAACTAACAGAGACAAATACCACAGCAATATATATTTATTCTACAAAACATATTTGGAAGATATAAGCTTTTTCTGATTCTGGTTCATGCCATTTTCACACAAACACCCTCCTTCTTCTTCTTCAGTTGATCCCAATAAAAATAAATCTTAATTACAATATCTCTTAGTGGTCCAAGTTTCAACAGTAAAAGGAAAAAAAGGGATGTAATACCCACAACAAATGGGACTAAACCTGCAAAAATATTCTGTCCTCATGAAAAAAAAAAAATCAAGAAAACCCTCTTTATATTATAGATCTATTTGACAGTTAACAAAACCAAAACTTGTGGCACAAAAATCACGAAATTGGCTTCTCTCTTTTACCCTTACTCTATTTTCCTCTTTTTCCATTCTCATCGCCGTTGATTATGATTTTAACCATTTGATTTAATGTTTTATAAAAATATTATTATAATTGTATATGAAAATATGTAGTTCATAATTGTAAACTGTTATTAAAATATTTTATTTTTTTCACTTAAGTTGTTAACTTTTCATATCAAATTTTAACAGTATGTTCAAATCAAATTTTAATAGTTTGAATTTATTTCTATATTTTCATATAAAATTATATGAATATATAGAAATAAATTTAAGTGGGTTTTACTGGTGGTGCGCCGAAAGTGGCTCTTTTTCAACACCTAGAAATTTTAGTGATATTGTTGACTAGGATTTTTTTGAAAGAGAACTCTATATATTTAGTCTAAAGTATAAAATGGGATTTCTTGAAAGAAGACAATGACCCCTCATTTCATCAGCGAGAAGCATTTGATAAATTTTTATATATAAAAGTACCAGTACTCTGTAAAATTTGTACGTACAAAGCACCAGTGAAATTTTCAATGGATGAATTTTCCTAATTTTTATTTTAAATCATGTGAAAAGATAAGAATTTAGGGAGGTTAATTTTAAATATTGAAAATGCTATATAGAGGCTATCTGTAAATGACTCAAATGTTAGGGCTTTTTAAAAATATTTTAGGCTAAACATTATAACCAATTTGATCAACACAATTTTTGAAAGTATAATGGGTGACTACTTATTCTAATAATTCCTTTTCTCAAATGAACACTACTCAATTAATTCTCAACGCAAAGAAGCATATGTAGCATCAATAAAAACTGCAAGAGAGGAACATATATATGTACCCGTGAAGTAGTATTTGCAGTTTCTGATTTTGGCAGAAAACAACATAAAGGACCCCAAGAAACATTGCTACTTGGACTCTTGTCTTTGCAGTCCTTTGACTCCTCACTTGTATTTGCTACGGATTTTTCTGGGAGATAACATTCTTCATATATGCTGACAAATGATGGAACACATTCAATAGACATTACTTTCAAACTAGGGAGTGCGTTTTCTTTTTGCATTTGATGCAACCCTCCCTCTTTTGAATATTGCCCAAACATGTATTTTAGCTTCTCACAACGAAAAATCTCCACACCTTCCAATAGAGGAAGCTCTTCGTAAAAACAAGTCGGCAAAATGAATTCCAATTCGTCACACACAACAACATTGAGTTGTTTCAATTTTGGGAACATTGAGTCATGACTCCTTATTGGAGTAGGATCTTTATCATCCACTTTTTTTGCTGTTGACGATCCCTCATCACTTATTATGTATTTCAGCTTAGAACATCTAGCTATCTTCAACGTCTCTAGGTTCTCTAGACTTTGAGCAGTGGACGGATGAAAAAGACAAGTCATTGAACAACGCTTTATTTTTATGAACTTAAGGTTACCCAGCTCTAGCTTCCCTTTAAATAATGTGCTTTCCAACTTTTGACATCTAATTAACTCCAGCTTCTCTAGCTGCTTGAGAAAACTGTCAGGATACTGACCACAACATATTTCTGTCACAGCCACTCCATCAAGTTGTAGTTCAATTAACTTGGAGAAGATAGTCACTCCATATTTATGTTGAGGATTGTCTGTATAGATCAAACACTTCATCTTAGACCATTCCTTCAAAGAAAGCTTGATTAAGTCTTTCGCGGCTCCATCATCTTCAATTGAAACAATGTCAGGAATAAGATTGCTCCAGCCTGCTTCATTATCTCCTTCTAGCTCTAAAATCTCTGCTCTTGCCGCCAAAGATTTAATAACTTCATTGGAGAAAATTCTTTGTAACTTGGCGGGCTTGAAACATTTTTTTATTGAAGCATCCAGCTGAGAAGAATCAAAGGCAGAGAAGTCGCTGCCATCTATATGGTATATTTGAGAATTAGGACAGGTTGTAATTTGAGGAACCTTTCTGCTCTGAGGCATCTGATCATCATTTGAAACATAATACAATTCTTCCAATTGCAAGCATCTTGGAATCACTTCAAATGGATTGCTGTTTCTAACTGAACAACGTATCAAGCTTAGAAATCTCAACTTATCTAGCTCACCAATTTCTTTTGGCAATTCAATAATTGAACAATTACTTAATTCTAGAGACTCTAGCTTTCTTAAGTTCCTCATCAACACAGATATGTCACCCAACTCCCAATTTATAAGAGATAGTGTTCGAATATGTTTTAGTGACTGAATTGATTTTGGTAGCAATAGAGCAGAAGTTCTACCAAACTCAATTTTTGAATGCAAAAGCAAAACTCTAAGACACTTCATTGCTCCAAAGACTGAATTTGAAATTTCCAAAGAACCATTTGTATTTATCCATACTAAGAGAACCTCGAGTTTGCTATCATCAAAACAACTGGGAAAGGCGTTTGTGACCCAAGATGAATATTTGATATTCTCCTTCAAATTTGTCTTAGAATCCATGATCACTTGAATCTCTTCATTTGCTATCTTCATAGCCACTTTGCGAATCAAATCATTCATCTTTACACATTCTTCACCAACCCTCAACAATAAAGAAGAATTTATGAGCTTGTTTTTCTTCACATATACTTGACTTCTTGTTGCATCATATTTGTCAGCTTCTCCAAATAGCCCTAATCCTATAGCAATCCTACTTAAAAGCTCTATTGGTATTTCATAAGCTTTTGGGAATATAGAGCACAGTAGGAAGAGAACTTGGGCTTGTTTATCTTTCAGATAAGTATAGCTTAACTTCAAAGAATTATAAAACTTTCTCATATTGTCATCAACAATCCCATGACTTGAGGGTTCATTAGCACTTCTCAATGCTATCAAAGCACGTTGCCAATCTTTTGGAGGCCAGTCTTTTAAGGATTTTGCCATTGCTACAACCATAACTGGTAATCTTCCACACTCATTCACAATATCCACTGCCACCTTCTTCAAATCATCAGGGCAATCTTGACCAACATGAAAAAGGAAAAGATTCAATGCCTCATTTGCATCTAAGTCCTCTAGCTTAATCTTCTTTTGGCATTCCATTAGGGTACAAACATTCACATAATGTGTGGTTAGCAAAACAGTGCAACGACCCTTTCTATGGAAGCCTGGCTGAATCCCCAAATTCTTAAGATCAAGCTTTTCCCAGACATCATCAAGGATAATGAGTACCCTTCCCTTGTAAGCAATCTTGATCCATATTTGTTCCGCGTGGGTCAATAGCTTCTCTTCCTCTAATTGCAATTCCAATTGCTTTGCAATGTCATCCCGAATCATTTTCTCATCCACAGGGGTGGACACACTGACGAACATGACTCTATCAAAGGAATTTGACTTTTCAATTTGCTTCCCAACTTCTATTGCCATTGTGGATTTCCCCGTTCCTGCCATCCCATGCAACCCTATTATCTTGTTATTTTCATCTTCTAATTCCTTCCTCAATTTCTCAAACTTTGCCTTTCTACTCTCAAAGGACATGAACTCTTGTGAATAGAATTCCATGCTTGGCACTCCAGCAGCATACGCTACTTCTTTAGGAAATTGTTCAACTTTAGCGATCATTTTCGAGATCCGCTCTTTCGTCAATTTTTCCAACTCCTTGGCTTGTGCAATTTGCGAGCAGCAATTTGTACACAAGCCAAAGCATTTGGCTGGTTTAGTGTCTTGGTGTAAAACTTCATTGGCACTTTTAAGCCAGTGTTCAACTATAGGTTCAACCTGAGTCTCATTTCTTTTCTTGGCTTCGTCTATCATTAGCTCTACACTTTTCACTGTAGCTAACAACTCTTCTTGTTTGTTTTTGAAGTCTTGAACATAACTCTTGTGTTTACGCTGATACTGAAGTTCCTCCCATGCTTTACGTAGCAAGTCTGGGATGATTGTTGTTGCAACACCGGTACAGATATTCATCTAACATGCATATGGGATTACAGTCACAAAATCAACTAGATCATATGATCTAAGATCATAATATACTAATTAAAACTATATTATTCAATGGGAGGCAGAGATCATAGAAAGAATGACATCTTTCTCTTCTTCTCCCAAATAAGTGTGCATCTATCTATATAATATCCTAAGAAAGGATGCATATTCATCCTCAAATCTATGGCAATTAATGGTCATGATGACCCGAAAACATATCAAATAGCAATTTATGTATAAGAACCACGGCAACTACCACGATTTAAATCTATGAAGCATGATTTAGTTATATTAAAATTTCATGAGTAACTAATTATTGGAGTTCTTCACAGGTCAAGATCATGAGCACTAACAATGATCATGAGAAAAATCAAACAAAAAAGGTTCACTCCAATTTTTAGATAAAGTAAGCTACGAAATTATCTATGGATCGATAAATTAAAATTATGAATATCCATACTAACTTGGATGCAAGCAAAGGAAGTATGCCAATATCAGCTTCACTTAATTTAACGAGCCAAGATCTGCGAAATAAAAATGAGAAAGTTTAAGATATTAGCTATATGAATATATAAGAGATGGAAGCACAAATAAGATAAGAAACTATTCTCTCTCCTGCGCAAAAATGCAACAGAGGGTATGAGCCTATTATTACATGTGCCAGCAAGGGACCCAGAAATTTTAGATTGTGGGAACACATTAAAATTAAATATTATTTTTGGTATTCACCTATTATAATGAGAAATTCAAATTTTGAGTTTGTTATATGTTCAAATATATTAAATTTATCTAAAAATAAGAATAGGGTGAATGAATTTTTTTTTAAGCAAAATAGGGTGAATGAATTAAAAAAAAAAAGATACGTGAATCATGTTTTATTTAATTAGCAACAGGATTGGTTGTTGCGCTGCAACAGACTCAACAGGGAAGGAGGTAAAAAGCAAATGAAACTGTTTTTTTTAAAAAAAGTCACTATATCAAAAAGTAAAAGGTTAGTATACATCCAGCACACTGAAATTTTTTTTTAGGTGTATTCAGCACCTTAAATTATTTTTGTGATACATCTAATACTCTTAAGTATTTTTTAAGGGCGTCCAGCCGTCCAACACCCTGAAATTTTTTTTTGCCTTAATACTTTAGGTTGTTAGATGAAAAAAAATACTTTTATATCCTGGACACACTCAAGGTGCCAGATATATCACAAAATATTTTAAAATACTTTTATATCCTGGACACACTCAAGGTGCCAGATATATCACAAAATATTTTAATACTTTCGGATACTAGATGAAGCTTAACCCAAAAGGAAAAAGCTTATTTATCTATTTAATTAATAGAGTAAAGTTATAATGAACTAACAAGTCTTGTTTCCTCCCAAACCTCTCAAGAGTCAAGAGAGTTAAAACTTAATAAATGATTGACGCACTGAAAATTATATTGTTAAATACAAAGTATTAACAACCACACTTACTAAACACCATTCAAGACATAATTCTTTAAGTGTTAAATAATCGTGCATAATGCATAATTATGGTACACTAAAAAATACACCCTTCTGTATACTCATGATCATTTAATTAAGAATAACCCAAAATATTTTAAATGTAAAATGTATTGTTTGATGAAAAATAAAAATTTATTACTGTTAATTAAAAAGTTACCTATGGAGAGTTATACACAATTTTATCTAACAACATATACACTCAGGCATATAAATTTTTATCGCATTTGGGGAAAAAAAAAACTATATTCAGAGAGAGCACTACTCGGAGATGAAAAGATAAAGCGATGCCAAGAACACAAGATAAAAAAGAAAAGGGAAGGAAAGAGAAAATAAAGAAGAACATTATGTGAAATATGTGTTACAGAGAACATTATGTAAAATATGACTTTAGTTTTTATCAATGGTCTAATAATGTTTAATAAAAATCATAATTAAAAAAATCTAATATTAAACTCACACGTGAAATATTTTTTTTATTATTTACCTTTTTTCAAAATTCAATAAACCTACGTATGTTTTTCTCACCTTTTTTAATTATTTTATTTTACTTTTTATTTTCCCCCTTTTCTCTTTACATTTCCACAAATTTTTATCTTAGGCAATTAAAATTCATAGCGACATAAATTGGGAATTTTTTCCTGTAGGATCCCAAACCATATCAATGGCAATATATTAATAATTGATCGACCATCAGGGTCATTTTTTAATTTACAGAATAGGCTATGAAAATCTTCAATACTAACTTGGATGCAGGCAAACGCACTAAGGCAGTGAGAATCTTCAATTTTCAGACTTGAGATTACCAGCCAAAATCTGATCAATAAAAAGGAGAGAGTTTTAAGAGATTAACAATATAAAAATGTAAAATATCAAAGTACAAATAAGATAAAAACTATATATAAATTCACACAAATTTCGATGCTCTCTTAAATTTAAATGCTACTTATCTTCCATAAGCTGAAAAGACATTGTTATTAATCTAAATACTTTAATGGACTAAAATATACAACAAAGAGGCCAAATGCAAATACACATACTAACAAAATTTTAAAAGTATCATGGAATACAAAAATTACCTCTCCTGCGGAGACTTCTATGCCTTTCCGTAACAATTCCTCGGATATGAAAGCCTCTCTCTTTTTTTCACCCTTGTTTTTCTTATTTTTTAATTTAAGAATAACGAAACCAACAATGAATAACGGAGAGAAGAATCAATGGAAGATTTCAAAGACACAGAAAAAGGGGCACGAAAAGTATTATATACAAGCAGAAATTGAAATATTTGGGTAGAATATTTGATAACAGAAGGCTTTTTTTTTTTTTGGGGAATGAGGTGAAGAAACAACTATAGAACAATGACAGAGATGAGAATAAATGAAGAAATCAACTACAAGGAAATCAGTGTTGCAAAAGAAGAAGGGCTTTTTTTTCTGCTTTCGGAAAAATATAGAAGGAGAAGAAGAACAACCTTTAATGGACTGAAAAATCAAAAAGAAGGACGCAAATGGAGTGTGGAAACTGATTTGCAGAACGGAGAAGCTGTAATGATTGAACGTGGGAATTGGCAAAGAAATTGCAACAATTGAACGTGAGAATTGACAAACCCTGAAACTCTTACAAGTTTAGAATGTACAGTTTTATACCCCCACGGGTCAATAATATAAGCTGTTGGTTAAAAGAAAATTGTGATCCAAAATATAAGATGTTGTCAAAATAATTAATGTGATTTTTTTCACTTTCACCCCCATTAAATATAAGAGAGAAAGAGGAGAGAGATGAGAGGTAATAAAAGTGTAATATGAACGGCCATTTTGTTATTTTTAGGGGTAAAATAGTAAAAATTTATCTTTTTAGAACCCATTTAATGATTAAACTTTTATTTTTTGGTATGTGAGAGAAGCTAACTTATCATATTATGGACCGGAGTAATAATGAACAATGGAATCTGATAGCTTGGTTTATGCATCAGAGGCTTGACTTTTGAAACATTGAAGTAAGGTATTATTCTTTAAGATATTCCTTCATAAATGGTTTAATGGATGCTTCATTTTTTGAAACTTTGAAGGTATTATCTTCTAAGACAACATTTTACTAAATTTGTTGAGAAATACTTTGATGCATTTAACCCTGCTTTCTCATAATTATAGTACCATTTACTAACTAAAGTGATTCCCCATGCTCTTACATAAAGATAAAGTTGAAAAAAAATCTTTCGCTTTGAGGCAAAGTCAGAGAGTTAGCGTCCTCTCTTCAGTTTTGAAGAGGTATTTAGATGCGAGTAGTAAGGACCGGAGGCACTAAATGATTTAATTTTCATGGAGGCTTTACTTTTAAAACACTGAAGCAAGGTATCATATATAGTTGTAGGACACAATTTTACTTTAAGAAAGAAAAGTATTACTTCATATATAGTTTAATGGATGCTTGGCTTTTGATACGTTAAAGGAAGGCATATTTGATCTTTCCGGAAACCATTTTTATTCACAGGAGCAATGTGAAAAAATTTTATTTAAAAAAAAAATAAAAACAAAGGGAGTACGGAATAAGTGGTGAACTTGTGGTTTACAAATTTGAAAAATAGATATTTGGCCTCTTCAATGAGGCCATATAGAAGGATAAAAACGACAACAAATTTGGTTTTATTCTTCACACTGTAATTGTTGAATTCCATTATCACGGCTCTGTTTAATGGTCTTAGTCTGTTTGGTATCAATATAAAAACTTAAAAGTATAGTTTATATAAACCGAGACAAAACCCATCCCACATGTTTATCCCGTATTCGGTAAATCATAATTAGAAAAGTATTTATAAGCCATTCCAAGCGGGCTTTATATCAAACATTTGTACAGCTTGATCACCAACAATGGCGACCTAATGTTAAATTACGATACTGGCTCAGAATGACGTCAAAGAACGACTTGCATGGTTAGAAGGTTTCTCAGCAGACTCACAACATCAGATTGATCATATAATACAATTACACACACCTAGACCGAATCTTCAGAAAGTCAGAAACGAGAAAAATGCATACATTAAGAGCTTTTTTGCCCCCTTTGGGCTATCGAAACAAGCATCATTTATGCAAGTTGTCAATCAGGTAATATGATACTCACGCATAGCATCTTTATTCTTCGGGTGCTTTCTCTCCCTTTTCTAAATCGTTCAAGGTGTTGATGGTACTCTTCTAGCTCCTTCTCCAACTTCTCAATGAACTGGCTTGTATGCTCAAGGGACTGCTCATATCTATATTTCTCCAAGGCCTGGGAATTAAGGTTAATGAAATTTTAAAAAAAAAAGTGTTATTATGAGCTCGAGAAAAAAAGGTAAAACAATAGTACCGGCCACTCATAAAAAAGAATATTTTCCAGTGTAAGACTATGAGTCAGTTCTGCACCATTTCATATTGCCATCTATTATATCAAACCACCAAGCCTGGAATATGATGAGCATTTGATAAATCAAGCCTAACGAAATGCCCCTAATGAATATTAATTTAGATAGCGACAAATCACTCCTTAAAACCATAGTATACAAGGACATCAGAAAAAGATGGCTCGTACACAAGACACTTAATTTTATAACAACATATCATGAAGAAGATCATTTCGACATGAGATAGCCCATGAAAAGAGAGGAAAATAGTTGTGCCTTCTAAATGGCAGAAAATGATAGTGTCTAACATACAAAACCAGGCTATATTAACAATTAAATTGGGCCAATGAATAACAGAGCTGAAATAACCTTCTCTTTTGACGGCGTATCTGGTGTTGACATTACTTTTGGTTGCACATAGTTCTTTCCACGGTAGAAAATCATGGTATTATTGGGCTTGATGTCAATCACAATACCTTTGCTCAAACTGGCAAGTTCCTCGGCATATTCATGAACCTGTCCTGGCTTGCAAGGCTTGCAGACAACCTTAACGGTCTCATGCCTCTTACAATGAAGATGTATGTTCAGAACAACCCCGCCAAACACTCCTCGTCTCCCGACTGGAACATAATTTTTCTTTTTCTCACCAGTACGCTTCAGGTAATGTATCTCTTCCTCTGTTAAAATTTCTGGATCATATATTTCTGCTGGGGATTTTGGTGCCTCAAATTTCCTCAGCTTCTCAATCAACCAGGCTTCCTTCCACTTGGCCTGCAGAAGGACACCAATGATTAAAAAAGACACTGCAGATTCTTAAATGTATGCCCTGTTATCAAACTAATCAATATGGCAATTGAGAAACTGCATGGTCAAAGCATGCCTGTCTCAGTTCAAAAAACAAGAACTTCATAAAGACTTTTTTCACATTAATAAAAAGCTTGTAACGTCCAATTCCCATGGAACAACGAGTGGATACTTTACTTTGGGTATTTTAAGCAGCAGTAGGGTCAAGTAAGAATCACCGCAGTATCACATGAATTTTCATTTGAAAACCGGAGAATGTCTTGAAAATATGCAGATCTAAAGTGATCATAAAAGTATGTTGACACCTGACGTGAAATTATCTAACCTTCTCAAGCTTATATCTTATCCTCACTTCCGATATTGGGGAATTCATCTCCTTTTTAGCCTTCAAACGATAGAATCTGAGCTCTTTCAATTTTGTTTTTCTAGACATTTTAACTTTTTTCTCCTTCTTGGCCTTTGTTGTGGAATTACTATTATCAGGCGTCTTGCCTATTGAGAACCTTGCAACATCATTGTTTGTGTTCAGCTCAAATGAAGCATTACTCGTGTATCTAGCTAGCAGCCATTTCCTAAAAATAACCTAGGCTGACATGCTTGATCTTTAAATGAAAAGGAAATCTGAGGAAGAACGTAATGATGCCAAACTTGAAAGATGCCTTGCCAAACTGCAGTTTCTTGGATGGATACACATATCATGAGTGGAAGATATGGAACACAGGATTGCCCTTGGAGATGATATGTCAGTAGGAACATTTTCAACCAGATAGCAGAACCAGTACAAGCTACCTCTGCAGAGAGAGAAAATAAATAGATTCAGGAGCTCAGGAAATGAAGAGCTACTTGAGCCAGAGTAAGTTTGCAACATGAACTGTGATGTTTCCATATATACTGCAGAAACCTTTTCCTCCAATTTAGTGTAATTTACTATTAAAACTAACAGCTCAAGAGGAAAAAAAGCTGTGTTGACTTGAGATTCTGTAATTATATAAATATAACCTAAGAACACAGTGCGCATACATGGTGTTATCAATAGCTGAAGGCAATGCCCACATGCAATAGTTTGTAGCCTTTGGGGGGGGGGGGGGAACAATGGTGCTTTTATAAAATTTTGGTGAGGTTTTTTTCTGTGCTTTCGAACGTACACAGTACAAGTGCTTCTAGGAAGTGTCCTAAGAGATTTTTTTTTTGTTTTGTTTATTTTTGCAAGTTTTCAAGGGAAAAAATGAAAACTAAAAAAAATGTTCAAACTCTTCGAATTTTGAAACTACCTATTTAACTTAGTAACATCTGTTCAGTTAATCTTAGAAACTATAATATCAACATCCTGAATTTTCTTCCACAATAGTTATTTTTCAAAAAAGTAAATTGTTTGGAAAGCTCCCAATTTGAGGTAAAGTTCAGACAGTATGATGATTCATCAGAAACACTGCAATAAGCGAGCACTTGTATCAATAACTATGATTTTGCGAATGGACAATTTCTCAAACTTTTTCCATTCACAACAAAATAGTTATTTTTTTTGTGCTGCAATAGTCATAGTCCTTGGCAGTTCGAACATTCTATTTGTTCTTATCAGTCTTACTCCTTGGCAGTTTGAACGTTCTATTTATGTTTGTTTTCAATCATTGTATATTCTTGTTTTGGAGAGACTCCAAGCAAAAACTACAGCAATCCATTTTCCAGCTCTCGTAAAAAAGAAAAACAGTTAATAGAGTGTTAATTTCAATCTGGAAGCTGACTTCTACGCAGCCATAAAGTTCTATAGCCAAAAGAAAAACTGCAATCCAATAAAAAGGGGGAAATTGGTTTCTTCTCTTACCATTACTTTCTAATAAAAGAAACTCTCAGAAGGTTTGTCAACAGATTCAGGACATCCGATGGTACTCTTCTAGCTCATTCTCCAACTTCTCAATGAACTGGCTTGTATGCTCAAGCGACTGCCCATATCTATATTTCTCCAAGGCCTGGGAATTAAGGTTAGTGAAATTAAAAAAAAAAAAAAGCGTTATTATGAGCTCAAGAAAAAAGGTAGAACAATAGTGTCAGACACTCATAAAAAGAATATTTTCCAGTGTAAGACTATGAGTTGGTTCTGCACTATTTCACATTGCCATCTATTAGGAATATCTTCCACTGTAAAACTCTGGGTTATTCCTGCACTATTTCATATTGTCATCCATCATATCAAACCACCAAGCCTAGAATATGATGAGCACTTAATAAATCAAGTGTAATGAAATGCTCCTGATGAATATTAATTTAGATAGCTAAAACATGGCTTATATGCAAGACACTTCATGTTTATAACAACGAATCATGAAGTATATCATTTCGACATGAAATAGCCCATGAAAGAGAGGGAAATAGTTGTGCCTTCTAAATGGCGGCAAAAGATACAGTGTCTGACACAGAAAACCAGGCTATATTAACAATTAAATTGGGCCAATGAATAACAGAACTGAAATAACCTTTTCTTTTGACAGCGCATCTGGAGGAGACATTACTTTTGGCTGCACATAGTTCTTGCCACGGTAGAAAATCATGGTATTTGATGTCAATCACAATACCTTTGCTCAAACGGGCAAGTTCCTCAGCTTATTTGTGAACATGTCCTGTCTTGCAAGGCTTGCAGACAACCTTAACTGTCTAATGCCTCTTCCAATGAAGATGCATGTTCAGAACTACCCCACCAAACACTCCTCGTCTCCCGACTGGAACATAGTTTTTCTTTTTCTCACTAGTACGCTTCAGGTAATGTATCTCTTCCTCTGTCAGAATTTCTGGATCATATGTTTCTGCTGGGGATTTTGGTACCTCAAATTTCCGCAGCTTGCCAGTCAACCAGGCTTCCTTTCGCTTGGCCTGCAGATTTTCAAGTTTAAGAAAAGACACCAGATGATTTTTCAAAAAAAAATCAAATAAGGGGGCAAAGAAAAATGCAGAATTGCAGCCTATCTGGGGCACTTTATATAAACAATGACACTGCAGATTCTTAAATATATACCCTGTTCTCAATAAGGCAATTGAGAAACTGCATGATCAAAGCATGCCCGTCTCGTTTTGGGGGGGGGGGGGGGGAAGAACTTCATTAAAGACTTTTTTCACATAAAAGACAAATTCAATTTGTAATAAAAATCTTGCAACGTTCAATTCCCACGGAAAAACGAGTGGATACTTTATTTTAGGCATCTTAAGCAGCAGTAGTGTCAAGTAAGGATTTGAGGAATTCATCTTCATTTTAGCCTTCGAACGATAGAATCTTGGAAGATTCCTTGCCAAACTGTAGTTTCTTGAATGCACAACAAACATATCATGATTGGAAGATATGGAGCACAGGATTGCCCTTGGGGATGATGAGACAGTAGGAACATTTTCAACTAAATAGCAGAATCAGCACAAGCTACCTCTGCAGAGAGAGAAAATAAAATGAACAGCAGCCAGTTCCCAACAATTCCACTGATCTTCGAATGAAAAGGAAATCTGTGGAAGAAGGTAATGATGCCAATCTTGAAAGATGCCTTGCAAAACTATAGTTTCTTGGATGCATACACATATCATGAGTGTATGTTTCACAGCGTGTGTTGCTTCAAGTCCTTACTTTCATTTTTTCAGATTAAAGGATTTGTATATCTCTCCAACACCTTAGAATTCCAAACATCGATAAATATATGGAAAGATTACTCTAAGGACCCAATGAAGGAAAACAATTGTTAAAAAGTATAATAACAACTGAACAACATATATTAGCAAGTTTCAGGGTAGAAAATAACAGCACATTTTAACAGCTCACTTGGACGGCCATTCAGAGAGTGGCAGTGATAGAGGCCAAGGGCAATCCTCTTTCTTTGTTTTTTTTTTTTCTTTAATCATTTCAAATCTCTTCTTTTGCTCTCTCTCTCTCTCCAGTGATCATATTTGACAGAAACAGTAGCGTCATCTAGCTTTAGCCCCCTCACTTCTCAAGGCGTTTTCTTCAACAGGTTGGAAAAAGAACATTAACTAATAAGTGATGAATGATTCCTTCAACTGGTTGAGGAAGAAAAACTTTAGAAGTCTTCTTCCGTGGAAACTACCACAGTGATAATGCAGAAAAGCACAAAATACATACATAACTACCCAACATTGACTACAGTCTAGAACTTTTTTTAACGTATTCTTAGGTAATTCAAATGACAGTCTCCAACAGTCAAAGCTTCTGCTTAAGATGAATTCCTAAGAGCAATGAGATTCTTTTCAAATTGGTGATACAGGAAGACCACTTAGAATTCACATTCTCTAGTTGATGCCTTGCTTTTATTTGGTCATCCACCATGTGAGACCTCTCTTTCTTCATTGCTTCCAACTCCACTATGAATCCAATGGTAGAAAAAATGCTCTTTCTGTTTTGTTGTTGAAGAGACAACAGTTTGATTTCACACTCTTTGATTTCTTTTTCATTGCTATACACTTCTGCCTGTAACTTAGAGATTTGCTCCTTCAACTCTTCTTCCCTTGTTTGAGCCTCAACCATAGAATTCTGAGTCTTGTAAATTTCAGATAAAAGAGTCATGGCTGCCTCTTTTCGTTGCAAATGTTGTCCAATCACTGGCTTCTCATTTTGTTCAAGCTTGATCATTGTGTCAATCATAGCATAAGCTTGCTCGAAGGGAGATAAAACAGCTTGGATTTCTAGTTGCAAAGAATGTATTGCAGCTTTAAGACCATCATGAGAACAATGAGAGGACAATGAGTTGAGAGCATTCTCAAGGCAAAGTCTGTTTTCTTCAGAGCTAGCTATTTTATTCAAACCCATCTTCAATGAGGCTTCCAAGCAACAAGAGCCTTAGTCACCTCGCTATCATATTCATGAGTAGTAATTTTGGATGCATAAGGTAAGTTGACTTTGTCCGCACCTTCCTCTATTATTCGGAACAATCTCATTAGATTGTCATCCTCAAGTTGTTTAGGCATGCAAGTCTCTGAGTGAGCGACTTTAATCTCATCCTGAAGTGAATTAGCATAAACAAACATTATTCTTACAAACAGAATCCAACAAGAAAATAAGAATTTTTTCCTTGAAACTTAGAGGACTCTAAATGAAAGTGGGGTTGGAAATAGTAATCATCAAAAAATATATTATTAATTGTTTCAAAGGAAAAACATTATATCCGAAAAGCAATGCAATAAACTATAGACAGTTGTGTAGATTTAGTAATGTAAATATCTAACAGGTCTGATGATGAATTCTTTGGTTTTGTTTCAGTACTTGAAGTTAATATTTGAGCCTTACTGGGACCAAAGATTAAAGAGATCGAAAACAAAACCAAAAAAAAAAAAATTATTGTCAACGAAAGTTAGTAAAGTACCAATAGTGCAAAAATCAAACAAGGGTAAAAAAAAAAAAAAAGAGTAATCACTTACCAATGAAGTGCTTGTTTCAGTAGCAATGGATGGAATTGCCATTGCAATTTTATATGATGGCTCTCCAACACTTGCTCCAGTATTCTGCATAGTATTGAATGATATCAGTTTCCTGTTTTTGTGACTATAAAGCATTAGAATACATATATAGTTTGTTGTGGATTTAACTAACCCTTTGTGAATCATCATGATGCATATCAGGTTGTGTAATTTTTGGTGGTGCTTGTTGATCAAGTGTGATTCTCCTGCCCTCGCCCTCAATGCGATTCAAATTACTCAAAAAGCACCATAAAATTATATCGTTGACCATAAATTCAACATATATTAGGAAGGACTATGTTGTTACACTTGAATACTCATTTTCTGAAGGAACAACAAATGATGTCGGTGATGGCTTGCTTGATTTCAGAGTCAAGATTTGATATGATCTGAGAACGTCATCTAAATTAGAACCTTCTTGAGAGGTTGACTTCAATGTTTCCT